CTGGACACTTGCAGCTAATGCCAGGGCTAAATTCTCTGAAAGTGTGTGGGTGGCACATGCACAAAGCTATTATTTGTTTATCCAGTTTTGTGAGCACATCTCCCACATAATGGCTTCAACATTTAGCCTTTAAAATAGAGGCTAACATTTCAAGGCTTGGCACGTCTTTTACCCTGATCAGTCTCTCATAAGATAACAAACTGATTCATACCAAGCTCAGAAGTAGTTTAAATGATTTTTTCCTGCTGAGTAGGGTAGATACACAGTGACACTTCACATCAGAGACTAGCTGCTACAGCAGGGCCTAAACTAAAACCACATAAACCATATTTCTCAACACTCTTAACCTTTAAGAAACTTTAGATGCAGATCTGTTCTCATCCCTTAGCTAGGCATTTGTACCCACGTCATCACCATAGTACCTGAACCAGTTTGGATCTGACTTGATGTGATTCAAATTTTGAGGCTCGACCTGATCTCTAAAATAATCCTAGAGATCAAAAGAAACCCCAAAAGGGAACACAAGCTGGATCTGGGTTCAGACTCGGTACTCAGAGCCATTTCTCTTAAAGCGTGCCTCAACTACTCGGGCAAAGAGAGCTATAGGCGTGCTTAAGGTAATAATTACAGACTGTAAGGCAGTAATTCCATCTGATCAGTAGAAGTGAGACACTTAACTACAAAACTTTCATTATGACCTTGTACTTCCCTCAGAAACATGTAAACTCTACACACTTAACCTATTCACATATGCCAATGCAGAATATTTGCTAACATTGCTGAGGTTGTAAATAAGGGTTTGTGTTATACTGTGAGGGAGATTAATGAGTAGTGTGTTTCCTTCTCTGTTGGAAGCAGAAGTAGGTTCCTTATTAAGATGCCATATCTGTCACTGTCAATGGAAACATGCTGTGTGGGTGGTGAGGGTAGGCTAAAGACATGTCTCATGCCTTGACATTTCTTTAAGGGTTTGCACAGGACACTGTCACTTGAGCAACATTAACTCCCACCAAAGTATTTTTTGTTTACATTTTATATATATGTAAAAAAGAGAGAGAGAAGCAATCTCTTGCAGTAGGGGATGATTGTCTTCCATGATTGCTTCATCTGTAGATCCAAAGATGCCTGACAAGGCCACTTAGGATTGACAGACTGCTGCAAGTCAAACACATGTTTCCATGCAGGGTGGGTGGCTCTGGATTCTTGATTCAGTCTGCAACACAACGTTTCTGCCACTCCTGCTTTTCCATCTCCTGTCATTGTAAAGTTAAAGGGTACTGAGATCACTCTTTTCCTCCATTTGGAGCAGTCCTGGAGTGATAGTCTCCTACAAGTTGTCAGTGTTACATTTTTTCAAGGTGGCCTCGAGGACATCTTTGAAGCACTTTCTCTGTCCTCCTCTTGAGCATATGCTTTGACTGATCTGGGAGAATAAAACTTGCTTCTGCAGTCTAGAGTTGGACATCCCAATAATGTGGTCAGCCCAGAAAAGTTGATGTTGATGATGCCTAATTTTTGTTAGAGCAATAATAATGTCCCAGGCCCAGGAATGGGCTAAGCTGGAATGGGCAGTGATCATCTGGTAAGGAAATCAGGGAATCCCTTTCCTGAGGCAGAAAAGGAGAAAGAAGACCTTACTAGCCTGCACACAGTGCATGCATCTCTCAAGCAAGGGAGGAGAAGGAGATGCCCTCTGTCCATTCACTGTAATGGGGCACCTACCTCATTGCTAGGGAGATAGCAAACATTCAGAGCCTTCCATGGCTTCTCCCCCTGCCCTCCTCCTCTCACCGTGATGTGGGCATGCCCTCCCTTGATTGTTATTGTGTCAGCACCTCCTCATTTCTTACCTTGCTCTGTGCTCATTCCCTATTGCTCCAGGAACACACACAAGCACACTCACCCACTTACCTGAAGCACGTGGCCAAGCTAAGGGACTTCTGAGTGTTGCAATGGTGAGGACCCATACTGAAGTAGTGGAAGCCCAATAACTGCTGAGAGTAGGTACAAGCAGGGCTGATTATGCAGAGCAGAAGTGGAAGGGTCAGATGACATGCTGCCACAATATGCGAGGCTCAGGCTGGCCGGGCCAGGGGGGAGGAGGAGAAGAGAGTAGGAGCCAAAGGGAAATGAGCCCCCAGGAGCTGCAGCAGGCTGCTGGTCAGCACCAAGGAGCAAACTGAAAGTGGTGGCTGAGTCAAGATGGCAGAAAGTGTTGTACCAAGGAAACAGCTACTGTCCAAGACTTACGTGTTTGTTTTCCTTTATTTTGCTGGGGATTCTGGACTGCCTTAGGTGGAGTGAATGCTGGCAGAGCACATGCACCCAGAATCAGACTGGCATTCATGGCGGCGGCTGACCCTTGACTTCAGGAAACGGGCTGGAGTGGGGAAAAGAGGGACTGAAACTGCACAGAGCCCGAGAGGAAAAGACATGGAGAGTAGCTGGGAGATTCCCCCAGGTCAGGGGGCAAAGGACTGGCTCTGAGATCAGCTGGGAAGTACCTGCTCAGATGGATAAAATAGAAACACTGCCGGATTTGGCAGCTGCAAGCCTGGGACAGACAATGCTGTGCCTGAAGCTTGCAGCCATGAATAGTGGGCCCAGAGGCACTAGGCGCAGCTAGAGTAACAGTGGATAGGGGCAGACAGTACAGACCCCTGTCCAGACAGAGCCCAAATGCCCAGGTGCCTCTTCTACCAGGGAAGCTCTCTCTAGTCAGGGTATTCCAACAAGTCATGGTAGGCAAGACCACTGACAGCGACACGTCTGCATTTGGAGTGAGGCAGCCAGTACCGGAAGGCCCAGAGGGTTAGCACACAAGCCTCTGCACTTAGGCAAGGGTACATTCACCTTGGTACCTTCAGCAACAATTACCCTATTATTTATATGTTCTGTTATTGTTGGGATAAGTTGGCAGTTTTTAATTCTCCCTCTTCTCAACACTTCCTATACAGGGCTATCAATGTTTACTCACTTACATGGCATGCCTTATTGTAGTTTCCGAGCACCTCACAATCTTCAGTGTGCCCATTTCTGAGGTAGGAGTTATCTCATTTTGCAGGTGGGGGTATGAGGCACAACAGTCTACGCGACTTGGGCAAGGGAATACAAAAAGACTGGGGATGAGCAGGGAAGATAAGCCAGATCTCCCAAATTGTAGTGCTTTAGCAACAAACCATGCTTCCTCTTCTTCCAGGAGGAAAGGAAGTAAAGATGAAATAAGCCAAAAGCCAAGAATCCTTAGTTCTCCAGGTATCTATATTTGTGAGAGGGACTGTCACAATATACTCCGTAACTACAATAGCCAGTTAGCTCAGATGGTGGTGGGAGGGTGCTCTTTAATAGGATCAGTTACAGAAATACTTGCCCACAACCTTATTCCAAAAGTCTTCTAAAGCCAGGCCAATAAAAGGCCATGAACTTGTTTACCCAGTTTAGTCATACAACTAGGTTAGAGGCAGTTATTTATTTTAGCTACAAGATTGAATGTATAATATAGGTCATTTCCTCCTCTTATAGCATTAATGAATATTTGAGTTTATATGAATTAGCTTTTTCCATTTATTAGTAGATCAAATAAAATGTATGCAGCACAGAGTGGAATTATTCATTTTGCCCCTGCACTAAAACCCTTGTACAGAAGCTCAAAGCACTCAGAAGAAACTTACCTAGCCAACACACTTGTCTCTTTAAAAAGAAAAAAAAGGCAGGCTTGCAACATGGACATAACAAAAACATTTTCAAATATTCTGAAAAGAAAACATTTTGTTAGCTCATCCCCAAAATACAGCTTCCAGCCCTGAGTGCTTAAAGTGTGCTATATTTATGCATAAATATGAGTGGGAACTCTTGGTGTGTAGCACCTCTGAAAAACAGATCACTACTATTTTGGATTCCTAAACAGTAAATTTGAAACATGGCTTTATGCAACTCAATTAATTTTTTTCTTAAAGAAACCAACAATTTTACTTCCCTAAACAGTAGGAAAAGAAGAATACCATTGAAATCAGAGGTCAAAGGCCATGTATTTACCCCAGGTTTTTTTTTTTTTCTGGGAATAAAAACAGAAGATGTAAAAACTGCCATAGCAGGATTCACATATTTCAGTCAGACTGAAACATGTTTTACTAATCCTGTCCTCTGCCAGGCAAGTGATGCTAAGAAATGAATGAAATGAGAGAAAATATTTCTTAAAATATTAGTAGTTTACAAAACATGTCTGCCATAAATATGTACATCATACATCACAGTGACAAAGAGGTATGCACAGATCTCTTCTCAAATTGAGAAGTTCAAATTTCAAACCGAAGACAAATATTTTAAGATAATTCCATTTTCATGAAAGCATTCACATTAGTTGAGGCTCTTTGTTTCAATGTCAAATGAAAACAAATTTTGAAAGTTTAGATTTGCCACAAAATGGAATTGCCATCCTCTACCCAGCTCTAGCCCTTGTATATGGCAGGCCTAAGCTGCAGGCAATGTGTCAAGGAAAGTTATGTTAGTTCGATCTCCTAGCTGCTGTAAGCAGAGGCACATACTTCTTAAGTTCTGTCAAAGAACAGCCCAGAAGTGTCTCACTTGACAAACTGGGACAAATGAGGGCAAAGCAGATGACCAATCTGGCAATAAAAATCAATAAAAAGTTATGCCAGAGCAAGACATTCAGCCCAAGCACTCAGCAAATTCTGGAGGCAGAGAATGTGACAGGTAATATGCCTGTAGGAAGAAGCCTCTCTGAGCCCAGCGATTTTTGCGCAGCCTGTCGCTGGTATAGAACTCTGAATCTCTGTCTGCTTGGCATCTCCTACAGTTACAAACCTGGGAAATTCTTCATTGGTTTGGTACTTTTTTAATTAGCCTTTACATATAGAACATACAGGCTGAAAAGTTCCACACAGAGCATATTTATTTTAATTGAAAAACAAAAATATAGTACCTTTGATCTGAAGAGCAGGGTCATTCCCCCTAAAGAGAATAAACAAAGACACAATTTTATTTCATATTTGGGTTGTTCCTCCAGGTCCTTAATTGCTTTATGTCTCAAGGGATTTTTATGGTCTCATTCACCTTGACTTCTGAGTGTATCCCAAACATAGCCAAGGGAGAAACATAATAGTCCTCTAGCCTGTAGAAGAAAAAAAATGTTCAGTTAGTTTGCGGGGACATGATAATGGGATTTTCTTGTGTGTGTGTGTGTGTGTGTGTGTGTGTGTGTGTGTGTGTGTGTGTGTGTGTGTGTGTATAAAATTAGGTATTGTTTTGTATATGCAAAGTATTTAGAGAGAAAGCTAAGTCAATTAAATGAATTTTGCATTTAGCTCCAGATGGTGGTACTCCTTATAGGTATGAGCCACATAGGGCAAGACCAGCTCCTGTAACACTTCTATTTGTCTATTTTTTACAATAGGCTCTCAGTTTATCTCCATCTTTAATTAACCTATCCTCACAATAAGCTGGTTACATACAGAAATTATTTTGAAAAACTAGAATAATAATAGATACCTAGAAAGCCATTTGTATGGTAAAAAAATGCCCTTTTTTGCAATCAGATTATGTTACATCCTATCAATCATATACCACATTATGGAAGCTTCAAAACAGTGTTATCCTCATTTTACAAATATGGTGTCTCAAATCCCTAATGCTGCCCTCACCCAACATACACACATCTTCCTTTCTATCTCATGAGCTTGTTACAGAAGAGTACAGTTGTTATAGGAGTCATACAGATATAACAAAGATCTCCAGTTAAGAAAAAAACTCTCAGAATCTATGTAGGAAATCTAAAGTCCTACAGAATTCTGTCCTATATTGTAAAACTTTACTTTAAAAAAGTTGCAAGCAGACACTGATATTTTTTACACAAAAATAGCTTACAAGCCATATCAGATTGCTGGAGAGCTAAAAGAACCCTACATCTATGGACCAATAAAACATCTGAGGGAAATATTCTCAACAAGAAGTTTTATGGAGGCAGAAGAGGCAAATTATCTAACCTACCTTTTGACAAGCCTTGTTTAGGTTCAGAAACCCAGCTGCTCCTTAGCCAGGTGCTGATTTAGCTGGATTTTGAGAATATTGGGAGGTGGCACTCTTTATGTTTGACATAAAAGAGGCAAGACATGAGGAGCAAAGACCCTCACAAACCCTGTGTATCAAAATCATAGAGCAGTGCTCCCTATAATAGAGTTTAACTAGTCACAGTAACAGCTTGTAGATCTGCTGAACCAATGAAAGTCAATAATTGCTTTTTGGAATGTGAAGTGATTCACTCGATACTCTGTATAAAATTCTCATGCATGATGTTGCTTCTTGGCTTTTGGTGGTATATGAACAGAAATATCTAATCAGAATTAAAATTCTGTACACCTTATCTTTTAAAATATATTTCTGTTTTATTGAGTTACTTAACTCAAAATTAAAATACACTCTTTTCCCCCACTTCAGCTTAGAGAGAAAAAAAATCACTTTATAAAATGTTATCACCATCATCAGTTTTTTTTTTATTGTTTGTTTGTTTTTGGGCGGGGGGTGTTGTTTTTTATTTTTACTATTGTACAGTTCAGTCCTAACATCCAAGTTTTATTAGCCAGGCTTTTGTGGTAGAGGTAGTCAAGTTCTTAGGTGGATGGTGGCAAATGTCAAAGGCTAGAAATAGATGTTGCCAAATGAAACAGAACAGCTGTGCCAGGATAACTCTTCCCAAGGCACATCTCTGGAAGACCCTTAAGGGGCCCAATTCTGTATGGGAATTCCCAGGATCAGGCCTCCTTATACCCCAGGAACACCTGCCTGGGGTGACTAGCAAGCAAGTGTGGGCAGCTCCAGGCTGCCCAGGCTCTCCTACCACATAACAAACAGACACCCATCACTAAAAAGCATCACAAATTAATACTACCTGTGTCATGGCTATAAATGTTGAGTATATGTGGTATGACAAAGGTGTGCAGGTCAGTTTTCCTGGCCTTTGTGCCACCATAA